AGAAAATAGAACTAACAATAGCCAAACTAGTACGCCAAACACCAGTGCTGAATAATTACATACGCATATTGCACATTGCACACACATTAGCGAATGAAATACAAACTCGGTTTAACAAGATATATTAAACGTAAAAGATGCCGGAACAGTGGAAACAAAGTATTCCAGTCTTAAAAAAAGGGAAAAACGGAAACATAAAAATTATAGAGGGATCAACTTATTATGCACAGCATCAAAGCTATTCACACAAATTTTGACAAAAGTGTAACAAGTTGGAATCGATTAAGAAAAGCTAAGATTCCGAAAAAATACACCCACCAATATCCATTATCAGACAAATAGGCAGATAGCAAAAAGCTATTGAATATAATAAGGCAAGGCTTGCCGATGTTCTGAAACTATTAAAGAAAACAAACTTAAAATCAAAACCAATTGAAATTATTCTAATACTTAGAACACATCCCAAAACACAAGCAGACCATCCTTAAAGTTGGAGATCGGAATCAAAACTTAGGCTGCAACTTTTAAAAAACAAAATATTGCCCTAAAGTAGCACGGAGAAAAAGAAGAAGATGAAAATAAAATTATTATGAAAAGAGCATTTTTATATTTAAAAATATACAATACAATTATACGATAAATTGCGTACGACTGCAGATATCGAAGAGCTTAGAGATAATTGCATTGCACACAAACAATAATGGATCAAAACCAACATATTATAAATGACGAGAAAGGGATTGCGGCGGTATGGAGAAAATATTGTTAAAGTCTATATGCAGATGATCCCCAGAATGCAAATTACGATTAGTTCACTGCAGAGAGAGAACCAAACATTCTAAAGTCAGAGGTAGAAAAAGCAATCAATAAGTTGAAAAATAGAAAATCTCCTGGCGCAGACAAAATCACCGAGACCATTTACTCCAAGAGACTGGAGATGTTGGAGTAAATGTTATGCATATGATTGCAAAAAGATTTGGAAAACCGGAGAGTGGCCCAACTAGTGGACAACATCTACTTTCATCCCTATATTCAAAAACGGAACTCCGCAGATTGCAGCAACTACAGAATGGTAACCCTAATATCCCATGCAAGCAAGGTTCTCCTTCATGTAATAGATAAAAGATTAAAAGCTTTTCTATTGCCTCAGATATCAGAAGAACAAGCGGGATTTGTCCCAGGAAAAGGCACAAGAGAACACATCCTTAATGTCAGACAGCTAATTGAAAAAACTCGTGAATTCAATACTCCTATGCTTATGTGCTTTGTGGATTACACAAAGGCCTTCGATAAAGACAAATGGCAGCAACTATGGTCCATACTAGCTTAAATGGGAACACCCTACCACTTAATTCAACTAATTAAAAGTCTATATGAAAATAATATGTGCACAGTAAAAATAAACAACATTTACATCCATCCGATCATTTCAGAACAGAGGCAGGTGTGATTGGCATAATCTTGCCAACTCTGTTTAATATCTATATCGAACACATTATGCGAAAGGTATTAGAGGGATAGAAGGGCGAAATATCAGTAGGAGGTCAAAAAATCAATAACTTGAGATATGTTTATGACACTTTTATTATCGCGGCAAATCAGGAAGAAATGGAAGACATAATGAGATGTTTGGAGGAAAAAAGCAAAACATATGGACTAAAGCTAAATAGGAGTAAGACAAAGATCATGATAGTAGACAGAGCTCGGAATAATCTTCAACATATTAAAGAAATTGGGGGCTTTGAAGTAGTAAATACTTTCATATACCTGGGGTCCCTAATAACAAATGACGGAGGGTGTGATAGGAAAATACGTAGAAGGTTGACAATTGCTAGAACAGCCATGATGAAACTAATAGCAATTTGGAAAAATTCTAGCATAGTAATACACATAAGACTAAGGCTGGTAAGAGCGCTTATTTTTTCCATAACCACATATGCATCCGAAACGTGGACCTTAAAGAAAGCGGATAAAAATAAACTGGACGCTTTTGAAATGTGGGTATACCGCCGCATGTTGAGAATATCCTGGATTGAGCATCGCACTAACGTATCAATATTTGAACAACTTAAAGTAAAGGATAGCTTGCTTAAACAAAAACAACAGAGATATTTGCAGTATTTTGACCACATTGCTAGAAGAACAGACACGATGGAAAAACTGATAGTCGAGGGTGAAGTTAAAGGAAAGAGACCTAGGGGAAGATCTCCAAGCTGTTGGGTAAATCAATCAAAAATATTGATTAACCAAGGGTTACATAAAGCTGAACAACTGGCCCAGGACAGAGAAGGATGGAGGAAAATCGTAAAAAAACTGTGAAGGCCTGATAGTGTCACCACATTTCAAAAGGGATTAGGAATGAGGAGGAGAGATGATTGCATAGCCATGAGGAGAAGATTAACGAGGGCCAGGGGCAGAGCAGAGATAAACTCTGTTGTCGTCCAGCAAATCCAGCTAATTGAAATATAATACCGCGTAAGAAAGGGAGAACTCTACAGAAAAATTTGTACAAAAAACAAAAAAAAAGGCATTGGAGAGAACTGTGTCACAAGCTGGATGTGTACATCTTTGATCAGGGATATAAAATCGCAATGAAAAAGTTCCATGCGCACCCCTTATACGAAATGCCACTAGACAAAAGGCTTAAGGTAGCTAGAAAGCTTTTTCCATCCGGCGAATGAAGTATGGAAAAACGGGGAAGCTAAACGGGCCGTACCCTTTACCGTATATAAATTAGTCGAGGCATTGGATGCACTTACAACACGTAGATCCCCTGGGCTAGATCAGATAATGCCCGAAACGGTAAATTCTCGGACGCGCGGAACCTGGGTGGCTTTTGGAGCATATGAATGCATTGCTTAAAGCTCAGAGATTTCATGAAGCTTGGAGGATATTAAGGTTGGTACTGATTTTAAAACTGGGGAGAAATATCGCCCCATAGCCCCATATGCCTTCTCTCATACATGACGATAGATTTAAGAGATCAGAAGGCCTATCATCGAGACAATTTAGATTCTGCAAAGGAAAGAGCACAGTTAATGCAATTTTAAGTGTAATAGAGGTATTGCACACCATTATGGACAAACAGCGCTGGGAACCCTGCAGTAAAAAGAGGTGATGAGGGCATTGGTAGAGAGGGAGGGGAGGAATACTATCTGATGGATGTGATCGCGGAATATCTTTCCAAGAGAAAGATCATGGTTGAAAAGGGCACGCTCGTTAACGTAACAGCTGGAGTACAACAGGAATTGGTTTTGCATCATTCCAAAGGGTAAACGCAAAATACAAGGGATGGAACTTCAATGTGCAGGGTAACTAACTTAAAAAAATGCGTCAAATATCTGGGAGTGACACTACATTAATATGGCAAATAAGGGAAGCATATAAGGGTGGTAACCCATAAAACAGCGAAGAGTGCGACTGCGATGGGGAGGGTGATGCTTAACATTAAAGAAGCCAAACCAGAAAGAAGGATGTCCTGACATAGTGTTGTGCAGTCAATCGTCCTTTATGCGGCACCAGTCTGGAGTGAGGCGATAGAGATACTGACCTACATAGGCGCATGATACGAGTAGACATAACAAGTCTGTTGTGAGTAGCATACGCCTAAAAGACTGTATCTGCAGCGGCCTTGTGGACTATGACGGGTTGCGTTCCTCTGCACGTGTTAGCAATAGAAAGGAGACATCTCTATGAAAAAAGAGAATATTTGCCAGCAGCGATAAAAGAAGAAGAAACGGAAAGATCTATAGAAAGATGGCAAGAAAAATGAAACAACACGGAAGATGTTGCTCAGTGGACCAAGATGCGGATCCCGAGCCTAAGAGATTGAGTGGACTGAGGTTACAGGCGACTGGATTACTTCTTAATGCAAGTGCTCACAGGATATGGGTGATTTAGGACATTTTTTTTGTAGATTCAGAAAGACAGATACAGATAAATGTATATACTGCGAAGACTCTGACACTGTTACTCACACATGGCCGAAGTGTAATACATGGACAGTGAAGAGAAACAGAAAATATAGAGAAATAGAACCCTGCTACCGTGAGAGAGATGATCTTAAAGATGACGGGAAGTAAAAAGGGATGAAATATTGTACATAAATACATTCTAACACAATTAAAAAGAAAGGAGGAAAATACCAGCCGGACCAACGACAGAGATATGATAGAAATAAGAAAATGTAGTGCTCCGAAAGTGTCGTCAACCTTACATCGGCCATCCCACTTTCGGACTACGGTGCTACAGCCAACTGTGTACAAGTATGAGAGGGTGGTTTTTTAGGGTAATCTCTGTAGTACAGAACAATTAAAAAATTTTAAGTGTCAAAATCTTACTTAAAGTATAATATTTTTATATTTAAATCATCGAAATTATGCTAATATAAGGGAATATCCTTTACTTGTAAAACTTGCAATAACGTTTGTATATATATATATATATATATATATATATATATATATATATATATATATATATATATATATATATATACGGGGATTAAACGTAGGTATATGTATCGGTGGGGTTGTTCTTTTGCTGGTAAGAGTAAACCATTAAAATTTCCGGTAAATACCCAACTAATAGTGACAGAATAGGTCACAGCCAATCTAAAAAGTAAGCCAGCTCTACCAACTAATCCTATCTCCTACGTCCACAAAGATATAAGCCGCGTGATTCCCGGCATTATATTTCGTATTATAGGAGTACGTTAGAACTGGCTCTGGACTTTTATATACCTTGGTTTTGATTGCCATTTATTATCTTGATAGTTTGATTCCCATATATTTATATGCTAGATAATATTTATAGCACAACTACCAATATTATTGATATCTAAAATGTCTAAGTCTTTATGTTGATCTATATTAAACGATTTTAGAAATTGTACAAAACGCAGGTAACTGTTTAAAAAGTAATTATTGTAAAAATGCTAAACTTATTTACTGTTAACAATGGGATTTTCTGAAAAAATATATAAATAAAGTTGTTCTTACCTGCACAACATTTCCAATTGACATCTCTAGATTCAAAATAACCTTATTTGTACTAGTTGGGACTATAATCTGAATTTCTCCATACAAGCCGTTCTGATTGTCGTATTGGTAACGAAAAATTGACGGACAAGGACTTTCCACGTTTTGAGATCTGATTCCTAGACTATTGAGTATTATCAGATAAGCTATTAAAAATAAAACTAATTCTGTTCTATAAGTCATTTTGTACAGTAAACTGTAACGTTATATCACAAATATATAAATAAATAAAAATCTTAATCTATAATAAATAAATATTTATGGGTTAATATATACAACAAAAAGCGTTGATGTGTGCCTTTGTTCAGACTTGAAGTAGTTTGAGGTAGAAGACGTGTATAGCCTGAAACAAAAATAATTATTAAATAAAAATACCAACAAAAATATTGCAATAAATATTAAGTGACTATGTGACAAATTCTACTTGATTGAAAGATGAATAAATCATCGCGTATAGTGCGTTGGCGAATTATTTTAAGGCCAGACGTCTGTCTTTTACGGCATGCAAAAGCACGTCAGGGTTATTTGTGCCTATCCAGTTTTTTTATATTACGTAGCCACGACATTTGTTTGCGACATATTCCGGTCATACTCTCTTATGTATACAAGAGGAGTCTACGGCGCCAAAAATTTCTCAACCAACAGCTTGTGGTCAACAACAGTATGGGGTTCTTAGTTTTTTAGACAAGCTACGCTACTAGACAGATTCAAGGATAATATAAAATATTTCAGATTTGACGTAAAGCAAACGAGATCTTAACGATGGAAAACTGAAAAATTTGTTTTAGCTTCTGTGGTTTGAAATGGAAAGGAAATGAAAGTGGTTTCTAGAAAATGGTAGTGCATGTTATAAGCCGAGAATAAACTTCACCGTGGACGAACAACTACTCTATTTTACTGGTTCACACAGTACATATCAAATAAGATAAGTTTGGCAAAAAATTTTGGCGTTTAGCGTGCGTGGAATCAAAATATAAAGACATAGGTGTTGGTAAACACGTTGTTTTGTGGATAATATAAAATCAACTAGGAAAGGGTAAAAATGTTCGACAGATAAGTACTTCATGTTGATGAAATTGACCAAGGCATTGCAAAAGAATATATATAAGTAAAAAAAAATAGATAACAAAAAGAAATTCTAATACCAACCAGATATAAAAAGAAGCAATGGATGAAAGAAGAAATTTTGAATTTAATGTAAGAAAGACGTCAATATAAGAACAAAGATAATTAGATGTACAAAAAAATGGATAAACAAATAAAATACAGAATTATGAAAGCGAAAAAACAATGGCCAATAGAACAATGCGCAGAAATAGAATACCAGAAAAAAATGATAGTTTTAATACACATAATAAAATTAAATAATTAACTCACAACAATAGAACAAGAAAACCGGGAATACTGAAAGATGTAAATGGGAAACTTGTGTTGAATACTAACGACAAATTAAAGAAATGGACAGAATACATCAATAACCTGTTCAAAGACAATAGAACAGAGCAGATGGAGGTAGAAGTAGAAGAGGATATGGTTTTAAAGGTATTAAAAGAGTAAATTACAAGGCCATTAAAAACAGCAAAAATGGTATACCTACACTGGGCCTAGATCAAATCCCTATAGAAATCGTAAAATGTATAAATTATGAAACCTTAGACATTAGAGTAGACTTATTTAAATCAGTATACAAAACAGGACACATACCGAAACAATGGTTACTCTCCACCTTTTGTGCTGTCCCTAAAAATACAAACACTAAATATTGCAGTGAATACAGAAGAGTATCACTAATAAGTCACATTCTCAAATTATTCTTGAAAATAATACATGGTCGTATAAACATAAAACTGGAAGAAGGAATAGATGATAGTCAGTTTGGATTCAGAAATGGACTAGGGGCCAGAGAAGCGTTATTTGCCTTTATTGTGTTAGCTGAAAGATGCATCGATACAAATGTTGATGTACATGTTTGTTAAGTTGATTTTGAGAAAGCATTTGACAAAGTAAGATATGAATAATTAGTCGAAATTCTAAAGACAAAAAACATAGACCGTAAGGACTTACGAATAATAACAAACCTCTACTCTAATCAAAGAGCACAAATCGTAATAATTAACGAACCCAGTCCAGAAATTGAAATCAGGGAAGGAGTTGGGCAGGGATGTATTATGTCCCCATTACTATTTAATGTATATAGTGAAGCCATTTTTAAAGCAATATTATATCAAAGTGAAGGAATGGTAATTAACAGAAGATCATATTAACAACATAAGATATGCAGATGACACCGTGATTATGGCAAGCTCTGCTGAACAAATTTAAATACTGCTAAACAAAACAAATAGTTTCTTTAAAAAATATGGACTAAAAATAAATATAAAAAACACCGAATACATGATAATAACAACAAATGAAAACAAATATACTAACAAACATACATTTGGGATTTCAGACAATAATGATTAAACAACCGATATAAGAGGCAGGATATAAATAGCAAGAAATGCGTTTGTAAAAATGAAAACAATTCTCTGCAACAAAGAAATTAGATTAGAACTGAGAGTAAGAGTCCTGAGGTGCTACGTGTTTTCGATACTGCAATATGGACTGGAAAACTGGACACAGAAGCAAGAACACATAAATAAGTTACAGTTATTTGAAATGTGGTGTTACAGGAGGATACTTATAATAGAATGGACACAGAAGAAAATGAACATGAAAGTATTGCGAGAAATGGACAAAGAATGCGAAATAATAACACAAATAGAAACACAATAAAAATAAGAAAGTTACAATATCTAGGACATGTAATGAGGGGACAGAAATATAAACTGCTAATGCTGATAATACCGGGAAAGATAAGAAAAGGAAGGAGTATAGGAAGAAGGAGAGTGTCATCGTTAAAGAATTTAAGGGACTGGTGGAAATGCAGTTCTATGGAACTCTTCAGAGCAGCAGTATCTAGAGTAAAGATAGTGATGATGATATCCAATCTCCGATTGGGAGACGGCACTTAAAGAAGAAGAATTGCAAAAGAAATCAACAAGCCTTATGGGTACTTTGAATTTAAACAGAAATAAAGTTCCTCTAAGTGTAAAGCGTGAAATAGGGAATTGTGTGCCACCCATATGTTGCAAAGCAACGAAAACATGTCACTTACTGCATACCGAGGAAAGAGCTACCAAAATGTGCTTTTGTTGAGCTCGTCATATTAATCAGTGGATTTTGTTGTTGATGTAGTAAATCAAATAAAGTGTGTTAATTCTACAAATGACTTAAGGGGAATAAATGTATGCATTATTTATAAAGAGGTAACTAAAAGCAGACTCAGTCGTCGTAAGTTTATTTTTCAGCTATGTAAATAATTAAAGGCTCCATATCTTGCCTCCCGAAATCTGGTACTATACCCAGCAATACCGAACAGAGAAACTACAGAGTAATATTTCCTCGTGCTTAATGTATACCAATGATGTAGTGTTAGTAGAAAAGGTTGAAATGGATTTAGAACAAAAATTATAACAGCTAAAACAAGCTCTTGAAGAAAACGGTTTACAACTTAGTTAGACATTAAAGGAACAATTTTTGAATATTCATTGAATGGTGGAAGGGTTGTGAAAAGTAATAGGTTTAAGTACTTAGGATCGGTATTACAGAGTAAGGGTGAAATTAATAAAGACATAAGCAGTAGGGTTATGGCTTAATGAATAAAGTTAAAGAAAGCGAGGGGTGTGGTGTGTGACAGAAATACATACTAGAACATTGGTCACAAGCTCTTGAAGAAAAATGTTTCAGAGAGAAGGATAATACCTAAGTATTTAAAATATCTATTTAAAGTGAAATGATTATAAATGATAGTTTTAATACTCAAGAATAGATATTACACAGTTGTGAGGAAATAGATGGAGATGCATGCAGTAGAATTGGAACCACCGGATCGATGCAATGGAAAGAGTATAATGTGACAGAGAGATTCCACAAAAACCTTCCAGGTACTTAATCATAGATCTCTTTTCTATGCTCTTATCTACTGTACCATAGAGCTTATCTTCAAAAATAATGGACAGTTTACGAATAAGAAAAAAATAGATAGAAAATGAGATATAGAGACCAATAAAAACCGTAAAATATGTGCACACATCTGAAATATTTTTAATATTTTACTTATCATTCAATAAAATGCTATTTCTAGATATGCATTTAAACAATTAGAAACCAATTATTAAAATATTATTCAAACATATGTATGTATTACAATTGTAAAACATTTATTATTGTGTGCTTAACTGCTTTTTTGTATTAGCATTTTCAAGGTAATGAATTCAGAATAATTTTAACAATTTGTATACATTTACAATGGTTTTCTTGACAAAATAACTTTAACCTTTTGATTACTAATAAATAGACATCCGGATTTAAAGGTAGATATTGATATTATAATCGATTGACGCTTGTACTACAAACAATAGGGTTTATGAGTTATATAATACGATCACGGTTGTACAATGAGTTTCACAGGATTAGAAATATCTGAAAATAATCGAATTTGAAATTTGCTAAATTTGAAAATTTGCATATATATATATATATATATATATATATATATATATATATATATATATATATACCGGGTGGTGAATCGTCAAACGGGCCATAGGAAACTCAATGAGAAATTTTAAATTGTTGAATTGCTGCTTCCCTAATTATTTTAGATCAAAAGTCATAAAAAACTATTTGTAGAGGGCTAAAATCTGAATTAAAACAAATGTTAAAACCGTTCTACAAATCAAATGTACTTCAAAATTTTGCAAAAAATATATACATTTTTCAGACCACCCCTAAAAGTTAGGCCACACGTAATGCAAGAATATATATTAGGACGTGTGTGTTTTATCATATTGATGTCAGATGTCTGACAATTTGAATTGTCAATTTTTTTATTTTATGATTATATTATAAACAATGAATTTTGCTAAATACTACTACTACTGAACATAATTACTTTGTGAACAATAATAGTAGATTGTTTACCGGGTAGGAAAAGCTTAACATTCCTGGACGACTGTGAAGATTGCTAAGTCGAGGCGCAAGCCGAGACTTAGCAACACAGAGTCCAGGAATGTGGCTTTTCCTACGAGGTAAACATACTATTTTTCCGCAAATCGTTTAAAATTCGACAGATATTG